TGTTTTTGAGGCAGTTACCATCAGGATCACTGGTTTGATAACAGGAATGCCCAAAGAAAGAACATCATAAACAAACTGGGGCTGAGGTAGTGGTACAAAGGGTTTCCCAGAGATGGCATAGAGAGCTCTGAGGTCAGACCCGCATGGGTCCAAGTCTCGGCTTGGCCACTTCTGATCTTTAAAACCCGCACAAGTTATTGAGTAACCTCTCTGTCTCACTTTCCTCGTAAAATGAAGATACCAATACCTGCATCATTGGATTGTGATGAGGGTCATAAACTAACAATGCTTAGTGCTGTCTCAATATAATTATTTATTTTATTTTATTTTATTTTTATTTATTGATGTATTTATTTTTTGAGATGGAGTCTTGCTCTGTCGTCCACGCTGGAGTGCAGTGGCATGATCTTGGCTCACTGCAACCTCTGCCTCCCAGGTTCAAGCAGTTCTCTGCCTCAGCCTCCCAAAGTGCTGGGATTACAGGCATGAGCCACTCCATCTGACCAGAATTCATATTCAAAAGACAAATTCCATTTAAACATACTTTCATTTTCCATTTTTTATTCTTTCTCTCTTTCTTTCCTGGACATCACCACGAAGTAGTTAAGTTTCTGGAGCAGAATTTGAACTTGTAAATCACTGAATCTTAACTTTCTCTGAGGAGAAAGCAATGCTTCTGCTGAACGCTACTTAACATGACCCCACTGCAAAGAAAACCTCAGTTAATGGCCTAATAAGCAAAGAAAGGCTATTTCAAAAAAAAAAAAAAAAAATGGGCTTGGAGAACATAAGAAAAGCAAGGAATGTGCCTTCCAGAGGATCTTAGAAGAGAATCACAAGCATCCATCAACTATTTCTATTGGATTGTTTGGCCAGGCTAGAGAAATTTTTTTTTTTCTGAAATTACAGGTGATTTTTATCTTCAGCAAAAAGACAGAGATCATCTCATGTATAAGGGAAAATCAGTAACTAACAGCAATGCACAAGTTTCAAAATGAGTCACCAGTTACCATGGTGATGCTAATATTACCTAACGACTTACTGGGCTGTAAGTAACCAAGCTGATGCTAAACACATTATTTTTAAAATGGGGAAAAAGTCTCAATTTTTAGGAATACTTGTAGGGAACTAGATGGACCTAAGCGGCAGATTGAAGGCAACCCAGGATCGACCCTGCAGAGCCAGGAGTCACCGTCATCTCCTGCTCTGTGCGTGCCAAGCTCTGTGACACATGAACACCCACAGCTGTGCCCAGTGACAGCTGCAGGAGGAAGAGCAATGACATTGTATTTACAAACAAAGAACTATGATAGGGAAGATGAGTCTTCTCACTCCCTAAACTCTTCATAAAAGAATAATCAATGCTACAGCCCACTGAAGATGAAAAACTCCATGACAGACTTTGGTGGCCAGTCTTTATAAACTCAACCTCAAGAATGTCCTCAGGTAAAACAAGATTCCCAGAAAATAACTAAAATGTATCATAAAATAATTTCCCCCTTTCTCAATAGTTTGAATGTTCTGAGTATATATGAATTTTAATTAGGAAAAAAGCATAACCATTATATGATGTTAATAATTTTTAAATCATGCCAAGAAATGGCAGCACACAAACACATTTCTATATACTTTGTTTTTTGTTGTTTTTTTGTTTGTTTGTTTTTGAGATGGAATCAGGCTCTGTCACCTAGGTTGGAGTGCAGTGGTGCAATCCTGGCTCACCGCAATCTCCACTACCCAGGTTCAAGCGATTCTCCTGCCTCAGCCTCCTGAGTGGGACTACAGGTGCACGCCACCACACACAGCTAATTTTTGTATTTTTAGTAGAGACGCGGTTTTGGCATGTTGGCCAGGCTGGTCTTGAACTCGTGACCTCAGGTGATCCACCCACCTCAGCCTCCCAAAGTGCTGGGATTACAGGTATGAACCACCGCACCCAGCCCACATTCCTAAATCGAACTTTGTGCACAACTTCTGGAGGGGGGGCGTAATGTCCTGTACACATGGGTTCCAGCTCTTTAGAAAACAGGCCCCAGGGTTGTTTCTCCCAGTGGTTCGGGGAAGCCAGCATCAGACTGCCCAGATGGTGCATTAAAAATAAAAACTCTCAGACCATATCCAAGGCCCACTCACTCTGAGTCTCTGGGGTTGGGATCTAAAGCCTTACATTTTTTAAAGATTCTCTATGCAATGCTTGTTTTCTATGAAGTCTGAGAACCCCATCTTTAGTAAACTCCAATACACTAAAGTCTCCAGACAATGGTGACAAAAGACAGGACAGCCACTGGGGGACATCTGCCAGCACAGATTATTCAGAGCCAAGTCTATTCATGACTCAGCAGCTTTTTGACCACAACCCAAAGTAAATCGCCAGTGTAATCTCCATGTATTATATATGTGGATAGGTGGAACAAATATTTCACAAGCAACACAGAATATATACTCTGACCTAATCTACTCTACTGTGTTCCAGTGTTTAATGCCCTGGCAACTAACTGAATTGATTTCACTACCCACTAACTGTAATGAATGAAACCATGGTGATGCCTTTAAATGCTAACATTTAACGTGGCTTTCTATATTACCTCTTCAATCTCACAAATAACAGCATGCAAATTATATTGATGTAGTATAAAATAAATGAAAAATATTTAGAAACTGAAGCAAAGGGAAAATAAAGACAGGAAACTAAACGTTTATGGAATAAGTCAAAAGAATCAAAGGTGAACTTAATAAATATAAGGCATGCCAGGAAATCGAGTTCACTTGTTAACTCCCAGCTGTTTCTTTTTTTTTTCAAGATGGAGTCTCACTCTGTCACCCAGGCTGGAGTGCAGCAGCACGATCTCAGCTCACTGCAACCTCTGCCTCCCAGGTTCAAGTGATTCTCCCACCTCGGCTTCCCGAATAGCTGGGATTAGAGGCACTCACCACCATACCTGGCTAATTTTTAAGTAGAGATGGGGTTTCACCATGTTGGCCAGGCTGGTCTCAAACTCCTCACCTCAAGTGATCTGCCCCCCTCAGCCTCTCTAAGAGCTGGGATTACAGGCATGAGCCACCACACCTGGCCCAATTCCCAGCTTTCTAGCAATCAATGTGAAGAAGGAAACAGCACCAGTTACAAAATCCCCAGTGTTCATCTGGGAAGAACAAAGCAATTTCTGAGAAGCATTCAGCATCTCCAGTCCCTCTCCTGCTGAATGTCCTCCCTCCCTCTTTGGGGTAGGGCAAGGGAGTCTTAAGTTGAAGTAGGACCCTTGTTACTGCCTCCACCTTCTACCACTGCCTAATTTATGGGTACAATTCCAGTTACTCTAGGGACTACTGCCTGGGACAAACAAAGCCTGCAGTGAGGGAATGTGTTCTCTTTCCGGGTCCACAAATCGACGTAGTTTTGAGGGCAAGAACTTCCTAGTGTCATGCCCCCATCCCATCTCTCTCCATCCGGGAGATTTAATGGTTTGTGTTTAAATTTCGCAGGGCACGGGAAGAAACTAAGAGTCAATCACTCCAGCGGAGTTCTAAGGAACTCCTTTCATTGGCCTGGGGTCTTAGGGAAGGTGGGAGTTCCTCCCAGGCTAAAAGTCCCCTTCTTCCACACCTCTTCGGACTCTATGTTTGGGTCCCCTTCCAAGAACACTCCCTTTGTGGAAACCGTCTTTCTCTCTCCTGGATTTTCCCTCTGGAGTCCCCTTCCACACTCTCTCATGGAAGCCGGTCTTCCCCTCCTGGATTCCATCTTTCTGGATTCTCTCACTCAGTGTGAGAGTTAGCTGTTTCTTTCTCTCTCCTTCTCCTGTTCTCTCTCTTTAAATAAATCACTTTCTACAAACACTTTTGAGTCCAGGATTTACTGCACACTGTACTGTCGTCCCCTTTCTCATTCTTGAGAGGGCAGGAAACCAAGAACCTGGAGAAACGTCCTCTCAGGGGAGCTGAGGGCACCCTGAACCCCAATATTACAGCAGGATGCTGAAGCCTGAGGCCACCTGATTCTCCCTCCTTCAAGAGCAATTCATATTCATTTCTGTTACAGCACTGGCCACCTTGTTATAGTGACAGCTGTTCATGGAGCTGTTCCTTCCCTCCCTGCTGACCCCACAAGATGATCAGTTTCATGAAGACAAAACTGGTTCAAATGCATTTCAGTGAACTCTCCCTAACGTGGTGTAAGATGAAAAGCTATTGTGGAAATTTCCAAAAGACAAAAATCATAGAAGCGCAAAAATCTAAACTTGGTTCTTGTAGAATGAAGTATGAAGCATTAGTCTAACCACTTGTCCTCAATGATTCAGTTTCAAACCTGTTAACCAAAGCCAGCATTTTTATATCCCAGGTTAGTCTTAAGGAAGAAATCTGCAAACAGATGTAATGTGCATGGCTCAGTTCCTAGCACACAGTATATACTCAACAAATTCCAGTGTGCCCTTCCTCTATCAGGGATCTTGTACATATTAATTTTACTTGCTCCCAGGGCCATTGCTATCTTCACAAATCCCTCCTTCTCCTTTAATCTTGCTAAAAAGAGTGAAAATCACCCAAGAAGAGCTGGGTTTCCACGATTCATAGAACACTCTTAGTGCCTACATACATAATGCCACATTTGAAAAGGTTTCTTCTCATTATTTCAAGTACTTTAAGCAAGGGTTAGAGGCCACTTTGGAAAAAAAATCTGAGAAAGGAAAGCCCAACTAAGTTATTAAGTATCAAATAAATTCTTTAACCAAGCAGTTAGAAACAGAAAAACATATCCACTGTTAGAAGGCAACTGCAGTTGCTAAAGAAGACAAGAAACATATTTGCTCTTTACTCTTGAGCTGGTAAATACCATCCTATGGATACTAAAGTAGCAGTTATTTGCTTTACAGACCCTATTTTCATGGATAGTAGAGACCTAAAATTTAGACCAGCATGTCTAGTCCTGAACAGAGGAAACATCAGTCATGATTTACTTTCCTTCAATATGAGTCCCAGATGAAATAATGTGGATGACCTACCTTTTCTGTGATATAGAAGTTGGAGCTATCGGCATGCTGCAGAGCAAAATACTCATGGTTGGCAAGAGACCACCTTAAAAATACAAGCATATACTGATTAGAAAAACAACAGTGGCCATTTTCATTTTTGTAACTGTTTAGTGTTAGATGAACTAAATATCCTGTGATTGGAACTGGACCATTCCCAACATATACCACAATGCAGTCCTGAAGCAAAATGACTAGCCTACCCTTCACCATGCTGAGACCAATCATTTCACATGTGGGCTGTCTAGACCTTATGCTAAGCCTTTCATCTTTAAGCATTTCATCTTTAAGGCTTGGTGTGGGAGATTTAAATACAGATATTTACAGTTCTACTTATTTTGAGGGATTGAAACAAAGGAAAAAAAAAAAAGAAAAGAAATGCAATTTAAGTTTTTGATAATTGGCACATTTCAATTGTCTCTGCATTCTACAATCCCTTGTCAGTATAGTTGATGCAGACGGAAACACTCCAATTAAGTATTCTAGGTCTTATATATAAATTCCAGTTAATACGACTGTTTACACAGTAATGGTTTAAAAGCAAAAGAAAAACAACAACAACAACACAAAACAACAATGACAACCAAAAAAAGAAAAAAACCAAAAAGACTCATTCAGCTACCACACGTACATTTCCTTTGTATTATTTAGAGCAGCCAAAAAGAAGTAGAAAAGCCACATCAGTGTGAGACCCCATGGGGCAGCACAACTACCCACTGCCTTGTCTGTTCAATTCTTTCATCCTCTATGGGGACCTGAGTGGTCCTCTCAGTTTAAACCAGATCAAGTATGTACTGTGCCCTCAGAAGCCTTTAGAGTACTCCCTGCTGGGTGGGACAAAATAAACACAACTTCCTAAAATAAATAAAGCCAACCGTCCCCCTCCCCCACCATGCACATAACAGCCATTTCGCTTTCTGCTCTTTGAGGACTAATGGTAAATTGTGGTGGAAAGGGTGTGATATTCCTACACAGTAATTCTTAGTAACTTTGAGCAGGTCAATGGGTGACTTACAAATAATATTTTACTAACCTACTGGAAATATTTTATTTGCTTGTCAATTTATCAACTAGAATGCCTTAGGTAAATCCTGAGTAACACTTACCCATCACAGACTTCCTTTATTATTGCAGACAGTGGTTTTTTCTGCAAAATGACAAAAAAGGAAATACTTTCTGTTAGTTTCATTTCATCATTCTAAATTTAAAAAAAGAAGAAGCTTCATAAAAAGATATCTAAGCAAAGAGAATTTACATTTGTTATTCTTAGTTGTTGTCTATGAGTCTCTTTTCTCAAGGTAACAATCGACCAGCTGTCACCACCAAATTTATTAATGATTTATTACCCCTGTGGTCCTTTTTGCCACACTCAGCATTATTAGTTGAACAAAATATGCATCATATTTAATTTGGCCACACTGAAATCAAGGTGAAATATAGTTTTGTTCAAAGATCTCACAGACCATGGAAGCCCATGAGGCCAAGTCAAAACCAGAATCCCTCAGAAGCAGTACGTGAATCAGGCAAGCTGCAGTATGGCTTTATGTAAAAGCTTGAATTCATGATATTTTTATGAGAACATGTGGCAAACAGAATAGGTGGTGTTACGAAATGGTTCCTACAAAGCGCATAGAATTCTTCCCCCGACGATGGCCCTGATAAATGTCAATCATGCAGCAGCTTGAGCCAGACACACTCCACTAATGCAACCATGACACCATGTGCCCTGGTGTCAACTGGCGGCTGACTACAGCTGTGCTTTTGCGCCTAACAACCACACTTGTGCTCTGCCTGCCCCCAAGATAGAAGGAATGCGGCAGAGAGACACATCAGCTCTCCCAGAGATGTCGAAACTCTTCCTGTTTTGGATGCAAACAAGACCCTGTCTGTCTCTAGGATGGGGAGTATCATGTCAACTCAAAGAACAAATCACAGACAAGAAATGAATGGGGAAGAGAGGAAGAGAAGATGAGAAATCAGAGAAGTATAATACATGGTCCTGGATTTTCAAGTACAACCATAAAAAAGCTGTTTACATATAAGCAGGTTTTACTTCTGTCTATCTGAAAGGCACTGTGGTATCTGGAAAGAGATTCTGAATCCAATAGATCAGTTCGAATCCAAGGTCTGTCAGCTCGTTTGCAGTGTAAGTTACCTACAATTTTCTTCATTTGCTGAACCTCAGTTAGTTTATCTGTAAAATGAAAATAGAATCTGTTCACCCCTCAGGCTATTAAAAATTAAATTATATTAATTATATTAAATTAATACAAAGGGCAAAAGACTTCAAAAAAGGATTAGGACTCCTGAAAGGGCTCCAATTCCTCCTTGTATCCTCACCCTTGGACTTGATGCTATGCCGGCCCTATTGGTGAATTCTGAATACCATTTGCATAGTCCTCTCCAAGGGCCTCCCTAACCCCTGCTAAAGGCCCAATTCAGTGTACAGTGTCCCTCCAATGAACTCCCTCCCACCAGAGCTCCATCCTCTATGAGCACATTCACTACCATGCGTGCAAAAGAATGTCTGCCTTTGCCTACAACTATAAACACAGTTGGAGGTGTTTCTTACAGCACTATTCACAATAGCCAAGATTTGAAAGCAATCTAAGAGTCCATCAACAGATGAATGGATAAAGAAAATGTGGTAGATATACTGTGAAGTATTCAGCCATAAAAAAGAATGAGATCCTGTCATTTGCAATAACATGGATGGAACTGGAAACCATTATTTTAAGTGAAATAAGCCAGGCACAGAAAGACAAACATCACATGTTCTCATTTATTTGTGGGATCTAAAAAGCAAAACCATTGAACCCATGGATAGAGAGAAGAAGAATGGTTACCAGAGGCTGGGAAGGGTAGTGGCAAGGGTTGTGGGAGAGGTGAGGATGTTAATGAGCACAAAAAAAAAGAATGATAAGACCTGGTATTTGATAGTACAAAAGGGTGACTATAGTCAATAATTTAATTGTACATTTAAAAGTAACTAAAAGAGTATAAGTGGATTGTTTATAACACAAAGGATAAATGCTTGAGGATACAGATACCCCATTTTCCACAATATGATTATTATACATTGCAGGCCTGTATTAACACATTTCATGTACCCCACAAAAACATATACCTACTATATACCCACAAAAATTAAAAAATAAATAATCACAGTTGGAGAAAATGGGAAACCTAGAATTACTGAGGAGCAGAAAGACAGTGGGAGTATTTCTTATATCCTGAATCTGTCCTCTAGAACAAGATGACAAATGGCAACTGGGTTCTACTCTACTTACATGTCACACAAGTTCTAGGCCTTTGCAAGAACCTGTCCACTGTTTATGGCTCTAGCTGTGAGCTGAGAAGCAAATGCATTCTTTCAACCAAATGACAAAGGGACTTCAGAAACAAAACTGTTTTCCATAGACAAGAATTTTGCCCTTCCAGCTGCCAGAGATCCCTCTAGGCTATCGATTTGCGATGACTTATCAGAGAATCTCCCCAAATCTCACTTTGTGAACCCTCAAAGCTGAAACACAAATAACAGAGCCAGGTTTTAGTCTTAAATTACACTGAAACAAAAGGTCAGGTCAAGAAGGTATTGTTAAGGTAGGAAAAGGCATCAAAAGCAACTGTTCCCAGATTTAGACTTAGAGACTGAAGTTTCTTAGAGGAATTACTTGGATTTTAATTCAGATCTGATTCATAGACTGAGAATCAACTTTAAAAAGACAGAGGTCTCTTGGGTACTATTATACCTAGAAGATAATGAAGTTGGATATATGAAAGGAATAAAGACCACAGATGCACAAAGCTTAGAGACTTAATAGAGAAAGATGAAAGAAAAACTGTAAACCACAGAGGAAAAGGAATTATAGTTGACTGAACACCCATAGAGTAGCCTAGTCAATTAAAATGAGTGTTACATAATAGTGGGTCTCTTCATTCTTCCATCTACCGCAATCAAACGTTAGCCCCAGCCACCCAAAAAATAATTCCAACAACCTTCTCACTGTTCTTACCTTACTTTTCCTGTCTGACTTATTGACACTGTTACTGCTTCCTTCTTTTTGAAACCCCCTTTCCAGAGCTTCTATGATATAGCACAACGTTTTCTTAATTTTCCTACACTTATAACTAATCCTTCAATAAAATCCAAGAAATCCTTCATAGTTGCTCTTTTACCTTTACCTCTCTAACTCCAGACTTCTTTTCTTATCTTTTCTGCTTTTATTTAATCAGTCAGTTCCTCATGGACCTCATTCTCTTCAACTGTCCTAAGTCTATGGTTGTAGCCCCAAACACTCTCTTGCAAATCTCTGACAGTCTGTTAGAACATTTTAACTCTCCTGCAGGTACCTTATTAAAAGGGGAAACAAAAGTCACCACTTTCACATTTTCTATCCCTCACTCTACCCAACTGTAGCACACGACCCCTCAGATCCCACACCCAACCCTGCCACGATTTCTCTGCTCTCATTATGGCACCACTACTGCCCAGGAGTCTCATTAACATTTATGTCTTCACTTTTCAGATATAAGGTGCTAAAAGGTTATGTAGGCATTTCCTCTGTGGTGTCCATAGCATTGCTTCTCACTGCCTAACTCTTCTGAACTCCTGACCCTCCTCATTCCAACTCCTGCCATCAAATAGATCTTTGAGTGTATACTCCAATCTCATCACTCTTAATTCTCCTTCCTCTGACCCAGAACCTTTCCTGAGTACAAGCCCATCATTAATAACTCTTTGCCATGAATTTCTAATAAAATGCTTCCCTAGCAAATCAACCCAAAGTCTCATCTTCCATTAGTTCCTACAGTCGACTAGCCTACTTTCAGCAGTTCTTTGAGGCACATTTCTAGCAAACTTGTCCTTGTCTTCTCTTTCTTCTTTACTACGTTCGGTGGCATACACATTTGCAAGACACTAAGTCTCATCATTACTTCTTCCACAACCTCTCTCCCTTTCATCTTTCCGGACCTTTCCTACCACCTTTGTTCTAAAGATCCCATCACCAGGTTCCTGCAGATAAGTCTCCACATCTCTAATTTCTTTTTCTCCAATCCCCATGTCAAATATAAATACATAAAATTAGACTTTCCCCACAAACTTTGCTCATCTCACTCTTTTGCTCCAACAAAAGTGTCAGTCCCTTAGCTTGTTGCCAAAGCCTTCCATAATCTGGTTGCAGTAATTCTACTATTCTGTACACGTTCCCCATCCTTCTGGATCTTGTTGGTGAGTCACCAAAACAAACAAACAAACAAACAAAATCTCATCTCCACATTTTCGCTCCTGCCATTTGCTTTGTTGAAATGTCCCTCTCCTTTCTGTTCCAACTCTTAACAAGACCTCTTACCTATCATTTCTTATCCATGTCAAAGCCACCTCCTATAACCAGATGCCCCCTTATCTCCCTGAATAGACACAATTACTCCCTCTGTATACTTAGCACATTAAATGAATCACTTCTGAGGACTCTGTATATCTGTTTTATCTCCCCATCCCTTGGGAACAAGGCATCTTAGTTAATCTGTAGGCTTCCCCGCCCTCAGTACTAGTTATCACAATATGTAGGTGTTAACAGGATCTAATAGAAGAGTCAATCTACCTCTGCTAAATGAAAAAATCTATACATTCACAAACTTTCCTTTTAAAAAAGAGCGAACTATGTTTAATGACAGCCTGGATTAACTAGCACATTTTCCACTTCCTACCACTGCTGAGTGGCTGTGAGCAGCCGCTGGTCATAAGCTGTTAGACACATGAAAGCTGTCACTACTCCCCATGCAGAATTATTCTTATAGGAATCAGGCAATTCATAGCTTGGAAGAGCACTGAGCACCAGATGATAAAGAATGTAATTCAACAGACGATACAACAGATACCAGCCAAACAAGTGTTACTGTCAGTAAGCATGACCAAAGAGGTGAGCCTTATACTCTCATAAGCAGACAAGGCTGACCAAGATACTCCAGGTACCTTGAAAACTCTAGCCTGGTATCACCGTTTGTCTCACTTCCTGTAGAATGCCCTCTTTTTGACATGAGCTCATTGCCTTACCAGTAAATTCCAAGCCAAACCCCAGCTCTGCCTTGTGGACTTTTTAGTTAACATTTGACCAAAACGTTACATAAGGTATGTCTATCTAT